TGTCCAGGAGCAAACGTATTAGCACAGTTAACAGACAGATGAACTCAGTCCAAAACAGCATCTTAATCTCAGTTAATTAGCTGCTCTTCACAGTCGTAAAACAAGGTAGATGAAGGTCGCTCAAAACCCACAGCACTAGAGATAATGATCATTTTATTAAAAGTCCACCCTTATACAGACATGAACTTCACTAAGCTGGATTTCTCCTGATGTAGCTGATGGTTCCAATTTATTTACTTCTGGCACTTCCCAGGTACTTCAGCCATGCATGCTTTCTATGGGTCAGAGTCATTTCTGATCAGCAGCATGGCTTTCAAGATGCCAGTGTCATACCTCCACTGGCAGCCCAGTGACCAACGTTTTGCCTGAGCCTTGGGAAGAGTTTCTGATGGTGACTTTGCTGCTTCAGCAACTTCTAGTTTTCCCTGATGCGGTTTCCCTATACTTGGGCAATCCTGTCACTGGCGACCTTTGCCTCTACACTGCCTAGAAATGTCATCCGGCCTCAAACCCACGTGGGAAACAGACGGTCTCCTCCGAGCTGTGGGACACCTACCACAAGCTTGCTCTTGGGCCTCCTCCAATTTTTAGCCAGTTCACTAACGATCCTTTTTGGAAGGGCTTTATTCTACACAGATGATAGGAATGGAAATTACATACAGATGGGATTTAACAGCTGGTGCTTTAACAAGACCCCTATTTCTGCTTCCCTGGGGAAATCTGTCCAAGTTAGGTTCATTCCTTACCTTCTTTTTCTTCACCAATATAGATTTTGAAGTTCTTTCTTTCAGTTGTTTATGACCTGATTTTCAAAAAAGCTTTTTAAATGGATCCCTTGTAAGAACAGGCATCTTTTCCCATTACGACTTTTGCATTCAGCTCAGAAAAGCTGCTTCCCAAATCCATCACTGGGCTGAAGTGCTCCATCAGGACCTACCAACCCAGTCTCCTCATTTCACATTATGTGCCAGGTCCACCTCCTCCCTCTCTCTGGCATTTCAAAAGGTTTTCATTGTAGCTGTCTGCAAAACAGGGTCAATGCAGCGAACAGAGAAAAAGAAATAGTTTTGTAAGAGCAATTGCTAAAGCATTTTGGTGCAACCACCTAAAATCCTTCACAAATGCTGCAGTGGCTTCTCAGCAGCCCTCCAGTCCACACAGCCCCCCATCTGATGTGCTTTTGCGCATCATCTGCACCCTACTGCACGTCTTCACCACTAGAATAATTTTTTCCTAGCTGAAAGCCTTTGCCAGCTGTGCTAATACTTGCCTATAAACTTGGTTACAGAGATTTCACAACTCCAGCAGGCAGAACTTTACTCTTAGCCCCTGCTTAAAGTGCAGGCTGAAATCTTGAACTTGGTCCTTTCTGAGAAGTTTCTTTCCCTTTGCAGGCACACTGCAGTGAATGTTCGTTGCCCATTATCCCATGTAAACCAGGCAGTCTTCTATGAATTTCAGCTAAAAAAAAGATACGTTGTGTTCTTTGCAGTGAAATAAAAAGAAGTCCCTCAGAACACATTTCCACCTTATTAAAAGAGATTATTTTTGTGGTGACAAATTTTGGAGTTAAGAGTATTATGTTGGGCAAAGTTTGGTAATGAATGCTGGTGTTATGTGGCTGATCCTGATGGCTTGTCACCAACTAAGTAGCCATTTACCTGCTTATCATGTTTTTCAAGCATTTTCCTTTGAAGGCTCTGAAATAGGAGACTGGAAGCCTCCTTTAGTTAGTGCTTGGACAGGTTGTGTTCTCAGGGCAACTTAATCAAGTGCTGTTGAAGCACTAGATTAGGCCAAAAACTAAGATCTCTGTCAGAAAAAAAATACAAGACAGCAAACATCTGCTGAGGAAAGTATGTTGGAGAAAGGAAGCCTGTTCCTGCTTACTATACCCACTGTTAGGATGTTCCCCTGAAGACCGGCCAGTGCAGAAGAGGATGTGCCACAGCCTCCCTGGCTGTGGGGCTGACTCTGGTGCAGCATCTACGGGAACACACAGCAGCAGGGAACACAAACTGAGCTGCTGAACTGCTGCTCCACCTGCACAGCTCCTGCCTCTGCAAGCTCTTGGGTGGAGAGATGGAGAGCAACAAGCTCCCTGCTGGGCTGCTCATGCAGCAGCCTTGTCCCTGCAGCTGAGGCTGGCTGCTGCAGATCTGCTAAAGCATGAAATCGAGGATAGCAGCAAATTTGGGTAGCATTAGGGGTGGGGAAGAATAGAGAAGAAGGGGGAGAGAGGCTTCATTTAGACCTCACTGACACCTGTTGCCTGTTCTGTCTCTGCCTCTTCAGCCTTGGGCTAATGTCTTTCCGTATTAATAGGAAAAAATACAGATTTTAGTCTGCTATTGAAGCCCTGTCTTTACAAAAGGGGACAATTACCTTGGATTCAGACTCATGTCTCTGTGAGCGTATTTCCAGGATCAGGTTCTCCTGCCCTCTCATTCACTTGGATCTTCAACCCAGCAGGAAGCAGAGCCATAATGATTATTATAGTCCTTCTCTCTCTTTAATTATTTTTAAGCTTTTTATTTTAAACTGGGAGTTCTGGTATTTCTGTGCATGATTTGCACAAGGATTTTGTTGTTTTAAGGTTGGTTTATCCGTTGAGATGGTGTTTATTGCTGTGTTAGTATTGTGACTGTAAAGGAACAGTATGTTTTCATCCGCTATGTTCCTTTCCTGAGCAGATCAATCCCAATGAACTCTTACTCAGCAAAGGATGTGAGTTGTACCAAACATTTGCTCAGAAAATACATTCCGTGGTTAGGTATACTGGCATGTTTGCTGATATGACCACGCTCCAATAGTACATGGTCAGAGCTGGCATGTGATTTATGGTAGTGAGGTTGATTGTAAAGCAAGGGTTTCTTGCTTTAAGAAAGCATTGGGTTAACACCAAATCACACTTAAAAAGTACATGTAATTTGAGAAGGAGAGAGAAAAATGATTTAGATTTCAGTTCTGTAAACCTTGACAATGTCCTTTTGAGTGCCCTGTGCCAAAAAACCAAACCTCGGTGATTCTCAGGCTGTTTAAAAGAAGCAGGAGAAAGAGAGCCAGTCCTCCATGAGGCTCTGCCAAAGCCTCAAGTAGAGGCAGACGCTGATGTCAGAAGAAAGCTGCTGTGATTGTCTTGTTTCCTATGAGATTGACAATACGTGTGACACCATCCCTGTGCCCAGTACAACTCTGTTGGAGTTTTCCATTGGCTTTGATGAGAATTGGCTCAAATCCGACATTTGTCTAATGTGTTAATGTGTTAACTGTGTCAAAAACTTTACGACACCATTGCCTATTGTACAGCTGATGATCTATTGGATGATAACTGTATCTGAATAGGACAGACAACCACAGGAATTTCCCTCAGTGTCTGTTGCATTGTTATTAAAGACAGAACTATCCTATGGCTCTGACAGCACGATTGCAGCATAACAACAACAGATATTCCAGGCAGTTAACTTTTGAGTTGCTGCTTAATCACCAGACTAATGAAGTGTTGTTAGACTGAGCTGAAGACAGTTTGCCCTTGACTGGATGGTTATTATTTTTAAGGATCGCATCATTTCATTATTTTTGGTCAAGGATTAAAAACAAGTCTCTGGTTTGTGTCCAAGCCTTAGATAAAGAATATCATAGCAGAAAGTATGTGAGGAAAGCCCTACATGCCCTCCCTGACATTCCTATCATCAAGGGGTTTATTGTTAAGAATTGTGTGTGTGCAACTGCATGACTGAAGTGCTTAATTTGCAGTTGTAGTGTTTAATGGCTATTAAATAATGCATCTGTACAACAGTTACATCTGCAGGGCAGGTCTGTCTTATCATCCTAGAACATTATTAGGATAGTCCCCCTAAGTTCAAAACGAAGCAATACTTCACCCTTCAGTTTTGCTGATCAAGCCTGACATCTGTGCCTTTTCCTTTCTCAGTGTAAAGGAAAGCATGTGTTTTATTTGATGAACTTTCTCTGCCCACAGGTTTGGTTCTGTAAAGGTAGAGCCTTTGTGTTTTCAACAGCTACAGTCTCCTAAAGTCCTTGTAGCAAGCATGGCTGAACCCCGAGGTCCTTTCTTAGGGTTAACTCTGCTTCTTGGTCACATTGACTTAAATGGGAGATTTGCTTGAGGAAGAGGGTGAAACTTGGGATTTGATGCAGTATGTTCTGTGAAAGGACATTCACCCATAACCTATATTGCCTTCACTTGGCAGTATTGTTTTATCTTTTATATCTGACACCCTCACTGCTTACGTAAGAAAATCGTTTGTACTGTCAACAGCTCTGTTTAACCTTTAATAGTAAAATTAGTAACTAAACCCAAGAGGCCAAGTCCTGAGGGTAAGGTTTCCATTAAAGTCAATGGTAATTTTGCCAAGGACAGGTCTGGAAAAGCCCTGAATTTTTACTCAGGATTTACCCCAGCAAGCTTTTCAGTAGCCTCTGTTTCTGCTCTACAAAGAGAAACTAGGACTACAGTGGCAGAGAGAGGAAACGTTAGAGGAACCTTTCTGTATTTTCCATTTAATGACTTTATTGGATGAGACATCTGATGATACCAGGTTTTTCTAATTCTCATTTTTATAAGCTATCTAATGCGCAGAAACGTCAGTTCTGGGCATATGTTCTTGTCCCTGGAGTCTTGTTCAGACATTAGAGAAACATTTCTAACTCAAAAGATAAACACTTCTGCTGGAGTTCAGGGGCGGAAATTGTTTTCATCGCAGCAGGTGTTGCCTATTAGTTCTACTAGAACTAAAACCCTAAGCTGGGCTTTAAGTGAGATGCATAATCAAGCTCTTACATCATTGTGAGATGTACCGTACTTGAACCTTTTGCTTGCTGAGACTGTATTTCCTCCAAGAAACATCCTGTTTTGCAATCTCCCAAATTCCCCATGTGCCATACAACATTAGGGATTTCATCACCTCCTGGGCACACAAGCTATGCTTTCTGCAGAAGACCCATAGGGAGGGAAAGACAGAGAGCCAGACAAGTCAGAGGTTTCCATAGTTCCTGGTGGGACCATGTGATCTATGAAAGATAGCTTTATTTTTATTCCACACACCCTCTCCTCCCGCCTTTCACTTCATGCTGTTTCCATTCTAGACCTGAGTCTGTCTAGCAGGCTGCTGATTGCATCATGTAGAGGAAGGGATCATACTGTCTTCAGTCCTGTTCAGTTGTTTCAGGCCCCTTCTTGCTTTTAATGGCCTTGGCTGCTTTATTTTTGTCCTTTGCCTTGCTGTCATACCTGTAGTGGACAAAATAGGCTGGTAAAAGGTATCACTGTTTGTAGAGTCAGTTCTTCATCTCTAGCTTTCATCAAGGTTTACTGATAAAGGAAGCAAATTTATTTGCAAGTTATGTCTTTATATTTAAGAACAGAATATATTTCTTAGCAGTTTTTTCACTTTGCGTCTTTGCTGCAAGTCTGTACTTATTTCTTTTGAACCTAGCTTGACTCACCTGAATTCACTGGGGATCGTTAGTCTGGGTTTATAAAGAGGTTTGCCAGAGCTCAGTAAGAGCTTGCAGACTCTGATTGCCCTGGGTAGTTTCACCTGGGTTATCACTCGTGTTCTGTGCTTGCTGCTTCTGACCTGTATTTAGGCTTAGCCCTTGATATTATGGGGCTGCTGTTCTTGGCCTTATGCCTTACTTTGAGCTTGTTTGGTGCTCTGCATTGTGGCTGATCCTGGTTGTGACCATGGGAGTTGCTCAGCTCCTTCCAGGTACTGGGGGGCTGTATCTCTAGCTGGGGTGCTGTCCTGCTCTCATCCTTGGTCCTGCTTCTCTGTCCTTTGCAGAGCATCTTGCTCTGTCTCCTCCCTGGCAGGATTTGACCTTCAGTTGCTGCAACTGCTTTCTAGAGAGATTTGCTCTGAGGATTGCTCACTTGTTCTATTTTGTACAGCTGACCCAGGTCAGGGTTTAAAACCTCCTTACAGCTCTGCTGCTTTTTCACAGGTTGTGCCACAGCTGCAGTGCTCACTGTTTAGCAACAATATTCATTTTTCTACCTTTTACAGTCAATTGTATTTAAAACATAGAGGAAAATGAGCTTTTTTTTTTTTTTTTTAAGAATTTTTGCTTTTTGGTGTGTTTGTTTTCTCTTTATAACAAAAGAAAGGTATGATAGTTACCAGCCACTAATTCACTGGATTAATCACTGCTTAGTTGCCTATGAAACTGCAGTTAAAATGGCACTGACTCTGAAGAGTGCCAGGCAAAGCTAGAAAGAAGATTGCCCATAAAGTTTCTTGGTAAAACTCATCAGGATTTGAATCATCTTTTAAAGCTAAAGTGCCTTACTAATGTGTATCCAGCAGAAAGGGGGGGGGGGGGGGGGTTAGAAAGAAGCAGAGAAAGAAAAGTCTTAGCACGCTTATCTTATGCGAATGTTCTTTCAGTGTTACGGCAAACCGTCCTGTGCTGCAGGATCAAGCACACACAGGAGAGAACTGCAGCCCGGAGCAGCACTTTTTCCTCATCCCACTAGAGGGTGGGTGCAGTTTGGACAAGCGAGGCTTTGGCTGGCTGAACTCTGCCTGGCTTGGCAAGGGGCACAATGGGAGTGTGAGCTTTAATTTATCACCTAACCAGGGTGGCGGGGCTGCCAGAATTGGCAGTTGGTACGTCAGAAAATATTTAGCTTGGGGACGGATGCAAGTGTTTCCCCTCTATAATTCATGCTCTATAGTCAGAAGATGCTATAAGTATTAATAATATATAAATTGAGTGAGCCAAATGCTTTTGGTTTTAGTAGCTTGAAACAAAAGTGTCTATGCTCTTTTTCTAATTGATTTATAAGTTCCTCATGTGGTATGCTCTGTGAGGCTCACTGGCAGAGTGTTTAAAAAGTGCTTGTTTCAGAGATGGGAAAAATAGAAGACATAATAGAACAGATTGTATTTTCTTTTGATTTAATATTTGCAAAATCAATCATTCTGTGACCAAACAAGACAGGCAAATAAAACAGTACCCTGATCATAATCTCCACTTTAGCAATGAAACACAGCTTGTACTTTAAATATCAATGGTTTAGAGAGAATATGATTCATTGTATAGCTGTCAGTGCCATTGGAACCAACTTCGCTGAACTTTAGTTCAGATGCAACAGGCCAAAACATATTGTCTCATTTTTTAATTTAATATTTGTATTTTTCACCTGTTCTATTGGTTTGTTTGTAGGAGCAGAGAATGCAGTCTTGGTTTAGGGTAGAGGTAGAGCTAAATATTTTTGTAGCTGAACTATATAAAGCTTGCCTGAGAAGGTGGAATTAAGGTAGAAAAGAACAAAAGTGTACAAAGTCTGGGGGGAGAGAATCTCTCTAAAAAGTGATTGAATTGACCAACATTAATTTGATGTCTAATAAAGCAAGGAAAGAGATTAGAGCTCTGCACCAGGGAAAGGTTCAAGAGAGAATGCTATGGGACTGCTTCTTCCTCTGTTAGAACAGACATTAACATGAGAAATAATCACAATGTTGCTTTTTTGACACAAAGTTGAATTAATTTGTGAAGTCCAGTTTATTGATAAGTCAGAGCTTTGATCTTAAGAATAGGATGTGCAGTTATATTAATCAAGCTGAAATAAAAAGGAAGAGAAAAGAAGAAAGGACAATCCTCTGACTTTGTCAGGTGCTGTCATGAAGAAATATGTCAGTCATATCTGGGATAACATAGTATAATGTTGCACAGTTGTATATAAGAGCAGCAGAGTCCTGCCCTGGGTCAAAGGCAAAATACTGCACAACTGACCCAGGTGCTTTGCAGGCTTCATATATCCATTTTTAATCTCCTGTTAAAGCATCAATGTTGGCCTCTGCAAAGAGAAGATGGATCACTGAGCCTGTTCTGGCGTGATAGTTCCTATGTTTTGTTCCATAGAAAGGGTTGTGATCAACAAAAACATTGCCAACCTAGGTCACTTGCCAGTTTATGAGCAATGGGATTGCTTTGTTGGTTTATGCAGCCCTGGTTGTTTTTGCTGTTATTGAAATGTGACATTGGCTGACAGCTCTGTGGGATCTCGCATATGGAGACTTTGCTCCACAGGGATGGGAGAAACTGGACAAATTATAGCGGGTTTTCACATATGGGGCCAATTCATGCCTGATGAACCCCTGTGGAAGCTGTTGGCGCTGCACCAGCCAAGAGGTTGACCCGTCATATCCACTGACTCATTGTGGTGCCGTTTGTCATGATTAAAGCACTTGAAATTTTCCTCCTAATGGGGGACCATGCTGAGTTTCAGTGTGTACTGCGCTGCTGCCTGCCTGTTTCTGTTGTTGCTAGATCTTCTGGAATTGTTTGTGTTTGTTTAAAAGGAGAACAGTGAACTAAGCTGGTGGTTGAAACAGCACATGAGGTTTAGTTGGATTATAAAAACATTTGACATTCTTTGTCACCTTCTTAAATGTGTGATGTGAATGCGTATGGGAGCTGGCAGTGTGGCTAAAGAGGAATTGGATGACAGGAATGAGACCAGAATGGTGAGAAGCAGAAGAGATGTGAACATAAAAGTGATTTTTTTTCTAGGATGGTTTCAATCCATCCTTCATCCAATAGGCTTGCAAGCAGACAGTACTGCTGAAGCAGTGATAAACATGTCTGCAGAAGATGGTATCCTAAGGTGATGACCAGAGATGAAGGGGAAATGAATTTCCAGATCTTTCAATTGTGTTCAAAGATCTGTATGTGAGAAAAGGTGGGGAAAATTTCACCCACAGTCTGTAGTGCTGTACCTGTGTTAGTCATGGTTCAATGTGGCCTGGTGTATTTGATAGGCTGTATTTGCAGTATATTAGAGAAGCTGACGAGGACATAAATGTGAAGATACAACTGCTGTACTGTTTTCATAACAATTTATGGCCATGGGTTAGAAAGCAAAGAAGCAAAGATGTTGGTATGAGTGATTTAGTAAAACCAAGTTCAAGTCCATTGTTATAAATGGTCTCTTGGGGCATAATATGGGACTTGCTTCCACTTCTTGCAATGTGTTGTGGAGGAGGGGACTAGAAGAGGAAAAGTAAAAATCCAAGAAAATGTGTGAGGCTTGAAAAGAGTAGCAGGGCTGTAGGCTCAAGAAGAGAGCCAGAGAAGCATCATCTAAATTATTTAAGATGCTTCAGAAAGGCTGAAATGGTGAATAATGATCTGGCAACTGAAAGAGTTGTGTGGGTTTTTGGTTTGGTTGGTTTTTAGTGTTTGGTTGGATTTTTCTTGTTCTTTTTAAAAAGAACTGGTAGTAATACAGCCAACTAGGAAGGGCAGTGACAGCAGACTAAGAAGTAATGTGAGCAGTGGAAGGAGAGAGTGGTGGAGAGAACTGGAGACACCTTCCTTTGGAGGTAGTGGGGGCATGCAAAGTAATGACTTCTATCACTCATTTTACTGCATTTCTGAGCACTGGTTTTACATGTTGCTAACTTTGGGCAGTGGAAAAAACAGATTACAAAGAAGGAGGAGGAAGCAAATGTGGCCCCTGGGCTTTGACTATGTCCCGCAGCCACTACCATATAGTGCTTGGCCTAAAGCAGTCTCCTCCTAGTGTTTATTAACTGGACAGGGATGAACATGAACATGTGTTAAGCAGATCACATAATCTGTCCAGTAAGACACCATGGCTGTAAGAGCATTCTTTTTTTTTTTTTTCAGAAGTGCTTAAATTTTAACAAACTGTGGTCAATAGCAGCCAGTTGTTCTCTCCATACACATGAGCTCACATGTAAGTTCTGCTTTAGGTCAAGTTGTTAGCACTGACACTGTGTATAAATGAGCACAGCAGGCTATAGAGAAAAACAGTTGTGATCATGCAGAGCCCTGAAGTTCCAGAATAAAACCTGATTTTCATATACTTTCTGAAAACAAGGAAAACTTGGGTGTACTATATGTGGAAGCAATCAAAGCACTGTCTAATATCAAAGACTTCTGTTTTAATGAAATTTTATTCTGCATAATTTGGAGGAGGAACTCTGACAGATGATTGCTCTTTCTTCAGAACTTGTTTGAGATAGTGGCTGGTGAGGTTTTAGTTGGAATTGGAAGGAGATGTGAGGGTGAGCCAGGGATGACATACACGTGGTGTTGGTCATGTCTGTAGATGGACCGTGAGAAAAGTGAGGAGTCAGGAAAGACAGGGTGGACACGGCTGTGAGATGCAGATGAAAAGGAGGATGCAGAGATTATAACAGGCTAAAATTGAGGGTAAGGAAGGTTCAGAGTCAAAGGGTGTAGGTCAGTGTTAGAGACGGTCAGGAGGTTGAAGATGGAAGGTGAAGCCGATTGATATTGAGCAGTTCAGTGTTAAAAGAGCTAGCAGAACTCAAGGAAGAAGGGCGTTATGTTTCATTTTGTCCTTGTCTTGTGGTCTGGAGTCTTGAACCCTGTTTCACACCCCTTCAACTGAGCACAGCCTTTCCCAAGCACTCATAGGCTGGGGCACTGCTTGGGCTGGAGCACTCCAGCCCTAAACAAGCAGAAAATTCAGCCCCCCAACCGGCTCTGACAGTACTGTTCCTTCCAAAGGCTGACATCATTCCTGGAAAGCCACATTCCTGATGT